GCCGACAGATCGATAATCCCTCAATGTTGGCCATCAGCCTACAACATGATAATGCATATAATTAATTAATCATCTAAGGCTTACCTCTAGTTAAAAAACCTCTACATATTATTATTCTGTAATACCACATCATTATCATCAGAAATCTTACTGTTATGAACCAAACAGTAATCTATAATCATCTTATCCTCATCATACTTCACAAAATCCTCATAGTGATTAATGCAGGAAGCTAACTATAATCCTAATTTGGGTTACTAAAATTATCCTTCCTATTCCTCATTTTAATCCTTAAGAATTAAGTTCATCGCATCATCTATTCAACGCTTCAAACGACACCTCAAATGGAGTCCGAAAACTCAAGTTACAGCCTTTGGAAACGAATCTGCCAAAAATCAGACTACACGAGTCGACGCATAATATTTTGAGTCGACACATACTGGGCTAACATCCTGCGTGAGTCGACGCGTAATCCCTTTGCATCGACTCATACTAAGTCCACAACACTGCATGTATCGACGCATGCTTTATCGTATCGACTCATCCTGAGTCCAAAAACCTGCATGTATCGACGCATGGCTTTTGAGGTCGACGCATACTGTTCTGTCATGAATATTTTCTGCGATTTCACTGCGTTTTCATCATGATTTCCCTACCTTAGGCCCTAAAAACATCCTCTAATCATAGGTAATCATCAATTATAATAATCCTATGTTTCTACATCAATTATACAACATTAGGGCATCATTATTCATCTCTAAATTATTGATCTTCATCATACAACAATATATACATTCCAATTATAAATAAGACAACTTTTCACATCTAATCCCACATACTACTCATAATAAACCCTATTATAGAGTCAGAACCCCACCCTTATCTTGGATTGAAGGTTGCTCTACGACTTTTCCGATTGAATTCCGTTCTGGCTCTTTTCATTCTCTTCTGCAACTTTCACGTTATCTTTCTCTTCTTCCAACTCTTATTTTCTTTCTCTCTCACTGCTTCTCCTTTTTCCTTATTAATTCTAAATAACCAATATAATAACCCTATAATTCTCATTATGTCATAATGGGCTTAAAACTCCTACGCCCCCTTTCTACTACTTCTATTCCTTAAAATAAGCCCATATTAAATAATATTATTATTCTAATATTATTCCACAACTTAATAGAATAAATAAATCCAATAACAACAACACATCAACTATCATCATAACACAACTTCATAAATAATCCAAAAATAATAATTTAATTAAATAATTAATTAAACTATAGGCGTTGCACATGGCATAGTTAGGACTTCGATCCAAAGATGTTACTAGGGCTTTGGTCCAAGGAAGATGGCAGGATGATTTTCTAGTGAAGGCATCAATCCCATAGTGTGGATTGAGTGCAAACATATGAAGTGCTCTGGTTCCAAGCGGGAATCGATCCTATGGTGGGGGTCTTTGGAGATAACAATGACTAAGTCATCAGTAAAGTTTAGGTACCATATACATGAGTCTATGATGTTGCATTATATTCTATATGACATTGCATAATGATTTATTTATGATGCTTAATGATACATTACATATGATGATATGTGTTTGTCTAATGATGAGGTTGTGAAGGTGTGAGTAAAACATGAAGATATGATGATGTAGGAAACCTTGCTTATGTGCATATTTACTATGTATATTCCTTATGACTTATATAATGATTATGATTTACTCATCTTTTCTATTTGAATGTTGCCTCCACGTGAGTAACACGCAGGTGATTGAGAATAGTTCGTAGAAGCATTAGAGGATAGCTTCAGAGTTTGTTTATTTTCTTTTGTTGAATAAAGAGAGTCTTACTCTGATATGTAACATCGGGGTTGAGATCGAATGATTGGAACTTATGTTCTTTTTTTTGTTTTAAGATGTTGAGTCACCCTACGTGGTACTCGAGATGTTTTAATTTATAAGTATGAGTTATGAAGTATGACTAATTTTTATGAAGTACCATAATGAGGTGTTTTGAACTATGATTTTCGCTGTCATGATTCGAAGAACTAAATGTTGATTCTATCTTGTTAAAGTATTTGAAAACCCGTGTTATGGAGCATGATGTGTCGTTATGATGTTTTATATGAAGATGTGGCACCATTGTTGGTGATATACTCTAATTTATTTATTTAAATAATTACGAATATTCCTTAGGGTTTAGAATGGTGTTACAATATATACATCAGAAAGTTTAATAATCTTATTGAGAGGAAGCACAATAGCCTTTGAAAGCAACTTTTGAACCGGAGATTGCTGTGAATTTTCCAAGTTTTGTGAATATATTTGAGAATGAGAGCTAAGTTAGCCTGAAACATTTATCAAAAGAGTTTTTAGGTATACTACAGTGAAAGGTTATAATTAGTTAATAAATGGTATGAAGATGTTAGTAGTAATGAAATAAAGCAGGTTCCATCGTTGGCACCTATTAATAAACAGTTTGATTGAAGGAAAATCAATATTGATGTACAATTTGGTTACGTTGTACGTGTTTGTAACAGATGGTGGATATTTCCCTACATTATATATTACATTTGTTAGTTAAAGACAACAATTATATCACAACAGTTGAGGATATATGGTAAGAGCAAAGGAGTTACAACTACCTTCTTCCTTAACTTTCGCGTATTGGAGCAAGATGACAAGTTGGGCCAAAGGCATTTATCTGTTGTTGGTTGAATTTGATGAATGGGGAAGAATACACCTCCCAAAGGATATATTTGATGGTGTTGTTGCTACAAAACATGTAAGAACGATAATTACACAGTGACACAATAGGAAGCAAGACATGAGGTTGTTTAGTACGGTGTTGGGAGAAATGAAACATACCCATGGTCTCTCAATACAAAATTTACCTACTATTTTTCTACCCATTGGTTGGGTTCAGGTGTAACCAATGCTATCAACCATTCCTATGATGTTTGGAAAAAAATTGTAAGCATGATCAGGTATAAGAAATAACTTAGCAAAAAAGAAATGGATACGCATATTGAAATAAAGTTTATCATCTATGAGGACATCCTTCTTCAATCGCCCGGTTATGATATCAACAAAACTGGTAAAGTTGTTTGTTTTGTCTGGAATGAGATGTTTGTTAACATCACCCATGAATGTTCCTTCAGTGAACTTCACCGTATACTTGTGGCCAAAAGGTTTGAACAACAAATCATTAGTCTGAATCAGGAAGTTTGATATAATGTAAGTGTGGTCTACCATCAACATTGAATATAATGTCGACATATAGGTTGTCGGCACAACGACATGTATATCAGTTCCCCGTCAAAGAAAGAAAAGTAGAAACCTTATCATAAACCAAGCTATTAACACCAAAATGAATGTTCCAACCAAAAAGGTAAAACATTGGAATACTATTGTTGCATTTAATGGTGTGATAACAAAAGCCAACTTGCAAAGAGACATTAAAAAAATGTTTCAGATGGAGTTAAAGTAAATAAATAGTACTTTAAGCAGTTTGATACTAATGCACGTCATATGCAGTCAAACAACACCATAAAAATGCACATGATATCTAGTCAAAGAACTCTATATATACCCAATTGAATGGTGTACAACAAAAAAAATCCTTAAACTATGATTTAACACAACCATTCTTACATTCAATAGTGGTGTGACTCACTGATGAACACAAATGGGCTGCAAAGTATGAAGTTTCCACAATCTATATATTAAAAAACTCATATCCTTCCCGAATCTATACAAAAAAGGGAAGAAGAGTGTGTTTTGGCGGAAGTAGGATTTGGTCAGTCCGAACCAAATGGCCAAGGTTAGTTTTGCAATAGGTCACAAAAGATAGTTTGAGTAGACATCTCTAATAGCAAATGTGATCAAATAATAGTAAAAATGGATGTAGGTGTTGGGAAAACATAAAAGTAAATCATATAGGTTGCAAAGCATTTAACAATAAGCAGAGGATAGTTGTTTCATGGAAAATAGTAATAATATATTTCAATAAGTAAATTGCAAGTTTAAACCAACCAACTTATAAATTTGAAACGCAAAAAGCAATGAAGGAGAGAGGAAAAAGAGACAACGTATAGGCTTTAGAAAATTAAAGGGTATAAGAGTAAAATCTAAAACATAATATATTCTTATAAGATAGATAATAAAGATCCTCTCCATTTTTCTTCTCCATTCTCTCTCTCCATTACTATAGTTTTAAAGATATTTAAAGTGTATAAAAAATAAATAAATCAATCAAATGTCACATTAAACATTTATATTTCTAAAACTTTGACAACAAACAAAATGGAAAAGAAAAAAAAATAGAGAAGATCTTAACTTATAATATAATATGTAATAGATATCAACTTAAGAAGATCACATGATGAACATAAATTAAGACAAAAAATTGTTTAATAGTTTATTAATATGGTAGAATATAACCCTAATGAAGATTAGAATACGACATGTTGGGTAAACTTGAAACACAAAACTGCACTTTCACTAATGTAAAATGTATTAAGCTCAAATTTGTGTTCAGTTTGATTGTGTAGCTAATTTTAATAAAAAATAGTGCCTATCAATTGATAATAATTTTTATTTGAAATTTAATTTTAAATAATATATAAGTTATCATTTAAATAAAAAAATTTAAATTATCTGTTTTAATTTAATTTGCTAATTTTCTCTAGTAACTTAATTAGTTAATAATATAAGTTATTTTGTAAAAAAAACTGTTTCAGATTATAAACTTAATTTACAATATTAAATAAAATAATAATTTCGATAAAGCATAATAATTATTTATATTCTTGCAATTCTGAAATCTAACTTATAATAATTTCAATCTTAACGTAAAATTTATTGTAAGAAACTTAATTGCTACAAAATGTCCAAAATCTCGATCTTCTCTCTTCCCTCACACATTGTTTGCGTTCCAGTCACGCTTTTTGAAACCAGTAGAATGAAATACACACTCCAGTTTTAAAAAAAAAGCGAAAATAAAATGAATAGAGAATTGGGATCGAGGAAGAAGATGAGTTACAGCACCGAGTTCAGAAATCACGATGACGACGCTTGGTACACAGTCATGGTAACTGTGGAAGAAAACGGAACACTGAGAGTAACCTACGAAAAATTCACCGATGAAGAAGATCAATTCTTCGTTCCATCCGTTTTCCATTCCCTGGAAGATCTTCAGGAGTTCCAGAAACGATTCCGACCTCTCTCCGTTCAGGTTCAGGATCACGAGTGCCGGAAACTCGTTCCAGGTGTTAAGGTCTGTGCCTCTCAGCATTTCATCCCCGACGACCTTCGCTTCTACGACGCCACTGTTGAAGCGGTTAGTCATTGTTGCTTTTGAGTTCATATTCAAGTTATTTATTAGGGCATTATTAATTATACACATTCAATGAAACACTTCTTAATCTATACTTCATTCGTGATTAAACCTTACTTTAGAAAACCTAGAAGTTAGGGTTTTGTATTTGTATTGTAGCGGAAGCAATTAGATTGTGGATTGTGAATGTTTTTAATAGGTGCAAGAACGTCCGCATTCTCGTAAAAATGAAGAGTGTCATTGTACGTTTATACTCTTCTGGTTACACGGGCCAAATGCTGGAAACTTGACGGCTGCAGAAATTGGCGATATTTGCATTCTGCAACCTATAATTGAGGTTGATCCAGCTGTGGCTTCATTCGTGGAGATTGTGAAGAAGGGGATAGAGTCGAAATCTGGACAAGAAATGGTGGCCAACTACAATGAAGGAACAGAAACTAAGAACAGACCAACTCTTTTCGAACGAATTCAAAATGTGAGTATTGTTGTATGCATATCTTTATGTTCCCTAAGTACTCTCCATTAGTTTGTATGTTAAGAAATTTATAGTAATAGTATATGATTCTTGTATTTTCTGTGTTTAACTTTAACATCATATATTCTGCTCCAGGGAAGGCGACGTGCCAAACGATCATCTGTTTTGGGTGACGGTTCTCCTAAAGGTTTGTTTCTATCATTCTTTGTAATAGTAGATGTTAATGCTAAAACTGGATTCAACTCTATGGTTTTGCTTCATAAATATTTTTTATGATTCCCTTCAAATGATTGCCCCTCTGACTTGTGACTCTGTTAGGACTTTGGTAACCATGGTTGTCTAAATCAAATATCATTTTTGCATTTATTTACTAGACCTCTAGAATTATGTCAGATTCTATTGGACAGGCAAATGAATAGGAGGATTGCATGAGAATATAGTAATTTGGATTGCATAAGCATATAGTAATTTGACTATGTTGGAATCATAATAAACAATTTGTCACACATATTAACCTCTTGCCCTTCACTTTTGAGATGGATAGGCTGTGGTATAATTTGAATGGATGGATGGTTATTGAGCTCGGAATGAAAAAAGTGTAGTATCTTTTTTAAGAGTTGCTAATGAAAGGAATTACAATGCTTGGATTTGTTAACAAAGATTTGCTTTGCTATTTAATTCTGTTGTATGTTTGGTATTTGCTGATGTCTTTGCTTAATTTCTCAAATTGACGAGTTCCCTTGCCATTTATGATGTTTGGAACGTTGTTTCTCTCTTTCTTTTTCCTTACCTATTGATATGAACATTACTCATCATAATTATATCTCTTCCTAATTAAATGGTAATAACTATCTGTATTCCTTTTTAAGAGATATCTCATGTGAATCTCTATTTTATATTATTATACGTGTTTCATAGATACAATTCTTCCAAGATACAACAGTATATGATTTGATGTCCATGTAAAAAGGCTTACTATCCTCGGGAGACCTTGTGAAATTGGGAACCTGCTTATCACTTTTTCTCCAACCTTCTGCATGTTTATATAAAAATATTTAAACTTTATTTACTCTACAGCATGCTCTCCACCCATTTATCATATTCATTCACTTTGTCTTTCATTCAGTGTACAATTGTTCTTTATATTTTTTATCATAATGTTCTTTAATTTAAATCTTCACAACTTTTTCCTAAGTTTTTCATTTTTTGGGTTTTAGTTGGCCTTGACGAAAATATGGAAGATATAGAGTTGGAAGGAAAACGAAATGTGTGTATGATTTTGATGGGAAATCTTGATAAAGAATTATGTCCATCAACAGCGGTAGATTTCTTACGCAAACATACTCAAGTATCTACTAGTGTCTTCATTTTTTCAAGCTTATCGTCAGAGATATACACCAGGGGTGCCATTATGGTTCAAACCAAACAAGATTTCCAGAAAATTTGTGACTTCTTGACAAATCCAAACCATATCATAACATCTTCAACTGGCAGGTATTATGTTTGCGTATTGTTCATAAACATTGATATCCATCTTATATTATATTTGATAAATAGCTTACTTTGGTTATTTATATTTGGTTCAACCATGAAAAGTAAATTGTGATTCGTGAACTTAAGTTTATTTTAACAAGGCTTCCAGGCTTTTCTTATAGTTATTATTTTTGTAGTTTAACCACAATAAGCCAAGGAAAGAGAATCATGTATGCATGATTGTTATAGTTATTATTTTTGTTTTCAGGCCATGGGTGGTAATTGAAAAACAAGTTGGTCTTAAAAATATCAAAGCATCAATAGGAACATTTCCTGGATCAGAGGTAGCTTATACACAAATTTATGTCTTCCTCTTTCCCACTAAATGTAGTTCTTTTGCATTTTTTTTATTACTGCAAAACTGTTTCTTTTCAGGATGTAGCACAGGATGGAAAGAATAGAACTAGCATTAATTTGAAGATTGTATATTCAGGAACTCAAGAATTCAAGAGAGCCAGTGCTATGAGGGAATTGTTTTTGGAATTTTCTGATCACCAAGTACAGCTGCACAAGAAGCTTGCTCTTCTCGAGGGAGAGTGTGTCTGAAATCTGAAACTAAGGTCCCTTTATCGAACTTGCTTAACAGTTAACATTACGTCCTCTAGGCTCTAATAGTTACTGGTTTTGTATGTAATTTTGCAGAAATTGTTAATATAACCATTCCTGCCTAAGCTTAGAGGACAATAGAAGTAGATCCTAATTTCCCTTTTATCACAAATAGTCATTAACATTCCTCTCACCTGGGATAAGAATCCATATTTGAACATCTTAAGGTAAATAGTGACCAATATTTGTCATATTCAACTTTCAATGGTAGGATTTGTCTATTTTGTAAAGAGCAGAGACAAATATTTAGACATGACTTTGTGTTAGTTTAATTTCCCTGGTTTCCTAGCTGTTTAATATTCCTTCACCAGTTTGCTCTGCTATGTGTTTGAAATACTAGATTTCATTATTCGAAAGGTACAACAACTTATTGTAGAAACAATATAATTCATGGTTGATAATTTTGTAGGTAAATTGAATAATTACTACCTAATAAACACTTACTTCCTCCTAAAAAATAATGAAATTATTACACTTCACCAAAATAGGAAAAGAAAAGTATATGGTTCTCAGTAAAGAGATATAAACTCACTGATTCAAGTCTAAGAAGTTTCTGATTTGAAAGAGTCACCACCTACAATTTAACCCGAAAAAAAAGGAAGGAATCACATGACAGTAATATGAATAATCTAATTTCACACCAGAATAAATTGACACAACTATCACTAGAATTCAAAGTTTGGCACAAAATTAATCCTACTGGGAAAGCTTCATTAATATCATAGAAATCAATTTCTGAAGCATTCAACCCAGCATTGGAAATAACTTTAGGAATGACAAGGCTTGGTGCTGTTGGAAATAACTCTGGTGCCTGAAAACATCAACCTCAAACATATGAGCATATCATCATAACATACCAAATGTCCATGAAATTATAAGTTTGAATGTACCTAAGCAGCATCAACATATCCTCTGATTTTTGCAATAACTTGAAGACCAAGCTTCAATGCAATCTCTCCACTCACTAAAACTAATGCAGCAGCACCATCACTGTATAGCCAAGACCAAATTTATTTTGAATAAACAAAGTCTCATAATAATGTAATAGATCATATTTCTTCATATACAAAACACTAACCTCATTCTTGAAGCATTACCAGCAGTAACAGTACCTCCATTCTCCTTTAAACAAGTTGGGAGTTTGTGTAACTTAACAGCATCATACTAGCACAGAAAAAGGAAATACACAAACATACATTACTTAACATTCAAACTTATCCAACTTAGTTCACAAATTTCTTGCTACAAATATAATAAAAGCAGTTTTGTTTTAAAATAAAGTATGGTTTATACCTTCGATGGCTATAAAACCTAGCATGGTAGCAGGTATAAATGAAAGAGCACCATGAAATTCATCCATAGGTGTCCTTGCAACACCAACAACACAAACATCTTTTGGAAAGAAAAAAAAAAGACAAAAAATTGTGAGTTCACATAATAAAGGAGTCAATATTATGTTTGGGGGTTCACGCTTAGATGTACATAAACACGATGTGACATCGTGACTCCGTAGAACTCATTGCTCATCCAAACATAAAGATATGATAATAAATGAATCAAATATAGTACATAAAAAGTAGTGTATATATACACGAGTGATATAGATTCAGAAATTGCTGCTGCTGGAGTCATTGATAAATGAAAATAGAATCTGTGAATAAAAATATTAAATATGGATTTAGTAACTAATTTGATTTGAATAATAAACTAACATAATCAGTTAGTTCTGTAGTTGACTTTACTAGCATGCCATCATATCATAGTGTATAATTTCTATTGATTCACTTGATTAATTTCATAAACAAAAAACAATACCAGAATAAATAGCAGCTAGAGAACCAAAATGAAAAAAAAAAAAAAAACATTGGATAAAATAAAAAGAGAAGAGAATTGTAGTGGTTGGAAAATGGATAGTGTTTTACCACAGTTCTTATAGTAGTGTTTGAGTTGTTGGAAAATGAGATATGGGAACATATGATTTTATACATAGTTTGGTTTGTTTGTATGCTTACATAAAGTCGAACCAATTGTTGTATTCTTCAAAAAGACGTGAACCATGTGGATTGGGAATTTAACCTAAATTCATTGCCATTCTTTTGGAGTAATGTAGCTCTTTTCATTCCTAAACAAAACTTTGTAAGCATATCATCAATTATTATGCACAAAAAATTTAAGAAAATGATGTCATTAACATTAAATTATATTAAAAATTTATAGAGTTATAAATGTAAAGTATCCATAATTTTGTTCAACAACTTGTTTGCTTTTAGAGACTATAATTGTTACACAAAAATAGACTTTTATCATTTCAAACATCATAGTTGATAAACTATAATACATTGACAGACTGATAAGACATCAACGACATGATATTTCTTAGTTTGTTTCTCTTTCAATATCTCCTAATAAATTAGTTTAAGTAGATCTCTCTAAGCATCTGATATTACGTAAGGATGTGACACTTTAAAAACTATTGAATGTAGTCATATGCAACAATTAATGGTTAAGGAATTGACACACTTCGTGCATCCTCTAATACAATATAATTATAGAAATAATCAAATATCACATTAACATTTCTACGGACGATAGCGGGAGGAGCAGACACGTTGGAGTCTCTTGAAATACTCTATAGAAACTCGAACTAGTGCATGACTCGCTCAGACAGATGAGGATACATCATGCGTGACCCACATGCCAACCATCTAGAGTAGAAGACTATATCATCTAATGGACATGTCTGACGATGATCGTTGTACGATGTGTGTAGTGGTAAAAATCGGAGATCAAACTATTAATTAACTTGACTCACAAATAAGGAAGAGTCGCCACCGCATTTTATTATTTTCAAGAGAAGGAGAAAAGAGTGAAATAAAACCCATAAGTGAATATGCAATGTAAGATGTAAAAGCAAGTGCAATAGAGAGATCTAAAATTTGGGATTGATTATACAAAGGGAATGTGTTAGCATCAAATGCATCTGTAGTACTCTACAAAAACCTTTTATTATATTTGTGTATTAAAATTAGTTGTTTGCTAAAATATTAGTTTAAAGGAATTTTAAAAATGCAAGGACCTAATGTCGAGGTTTTAGCTTAAAAGAGTGTAAGTTTAAAAAATGAGATTTTTAGAGATCTAACTTAAGATTAACAAAACTTAAAGATGGATGAAGAAATTCGCACAATCATATAAGATACACTCGATTACATGAAGTCAATGAATTAACCTTTTCCCTTAGATTCAAACACAAAGATAATAGTCAAATGAAGACCGAATAAGAATCATGCATCAAATAAAAATGGATAGTAACCATAGTCCAAGGATTAAAGAACCAAATTTAGATTTTTTTTCTTCTTTATTAAGTGGCTTATAACAAGTAAAAAAAAGAAGCTCAAGTGAGTAAAGAGAAGATAAATGCCCAAGTGAGCAAAGAAAAAATGTATAAAGTAAAGAAAATAAAATATTATGGATGATAAGTGGCATAAAAGTAAAGAGAGAAAAATATAAAGTGCGGAAATATAAATGACATTAAAGTAAAGTTAGTACAATATAAATTTAATAATCTGATTTGGGATAAGTGTAACTTCATATGGAGCATACAATATATGTACCCATACATGTTAGAGAAATGACACTTTGAAATTCATTCTCTTATATATGTAGTACAATTAACAAACATGTGGGATTAAGACAAAGTCAGGGAAGATACATTATGACAAATTTATCATCAATCCTAAGTATCTTGAATGATCAAAGAATCATTTAGAGGTAAATTATAAATGATAAAAGTTCATCAAATATCCGACAAGCTTAGATGAACTAAGAAAATATCAAATGTTTTTCAAATTGATTCAAATAAAAATAAAAATAAAAATAAAATAGATAAAGAAAAATAAGATGAAGTTATAATAAAAAAAATATAAATGTCGTAACTTTCTCAATTTTTCATGAAATTAAACAAATGAATAATGAAAATTTATCTACTCAATCTCACGACCAATGATCCATACTCAAAATAAGTAAATAAATAACAAAAAATTACATAAAAAATGAAAATTAAACAACAATAAATCACTTTTGTTTTTGGAGATTCAAGAACACTTTTCAACTCTAGATTTTGAATGAATGGAGTTTCCTTCCAAAATGGTGATAATTATGGTACTAAATAAATAAATAAATAAATAAAGAGTAAAAATGCAATAGAATTACATAAAGAACAAATATAATAGCCTACATATTCAATAAAAGGAAGAAATGACTTGAAAGAACATGAAGAGAAAATAATAAAAGAGTTTTAGCTTAGTTTAGTGAATGATTTATGGTATTGTTAGTTTCAAATGAAAGAAATAGGTGTCTTATTTATAAGGTGAATGAGGTGGGAGTGTTGATGTGATAATCCATGTGACTTTATGAGAATAGTTCTTAGTCATTGATAAGTCTAAGTTGGCAATCCATGTGAAGTGTGAGAATGATTCTTGACCATTGATAAGTATAAATTGGTAATTCATGTCAAGTGTTTGTACTATATTATATTAGTCCCAACTTTTCTTTATTGACACAAAAAAAACAAAAAAACAAAATAATAATAATAATAATAATAATAAAAGAAATTAAAAGTGTTAGTAATAATAATAAATACAAAATAGAAAATAAAAGAGACATCAAATTAACTATTTAAGATTTTTTTTTCTTGAATTAAAATAAATGAAAATAAAAGTGCAAATTAAAAGATAAAAAATAAAATACATATAAGAAAGTAAAAGGACTTATATAAATTTTTCTAGAATTTTTTTGAAATAAATGATATCAATATATAAATTTAAATTAATAAAAGAACATATGTTTGATAATTTTTTTAGTAAAGAAGTAAAAATAGTAAATAAAAAAAGTAACATGAAGCTAAGTACATTTTTTGTTGAATTTTTTAAATGGAAAATAAA